TATGTCATATTGCTACTCAGTCTTTCTTCTTCCTCATATTTGTCCTTGTATAGTTCTTCTCTGTTAATGTCTTCTTTAATCTTCTCTTTTCTAAAACTTGGTGTATGTTTTTCTTTGTCTTGTCATTCTTTCTTATAGTCTTTGGATTCTTCTTTTTCTCTTTCTTTCTTTTCCTTATCTTCTGGTATCAACTTGTACCAATCACTCTCTTTTCTGTTAATTCTTTGTATAGCTTTATCTCTGCTGTAATTACAATCAAAGACTACTTCTAACCACAGATTTCCTCTCTTGAATACTTCGTCGATGTTTTTTACATATGTATTGTTCTTTAGAAACCATCTAATAAACTTTATACATTCTTCTTTTGTTTCTCCAAGGACCTTATATGCTGGTATGTTGGCAATTAGGCTGTTGTTTTGGTTACAATTTCTTCTGCTTGGTGCTCATATACTTTGTTCTAATGCTATTCCTACAATGTCAATTTCTTCTTCTGTTTCTTGCTTCCTTCTTTTCTGTCTTTCTCTTTCCTCCTCTAGTGTGTTTTGTCTTAATTGCTTACTCTTCATTTCTATATTCTCTTGTTCGCTTATATTTCTTTGCTTCTTGGTTTCTTTTTTCTAAATACTGGTTTCACCTGTCAGTTTGTCATTTCTTTCTATACTTACCTTTCTCTATTCTTCTCTTTGTGATATATTTGTTTCTTCTTGTTTTCCTATATTTCCAATTTCTTCTTCTATATTTCTTTTCTTTTCTTGCTTTCTTTCAATACTCTCTTCTTCATTTTCTTTTGTTATCACTTGCTGTTCTTTGTTTTGGTTATTCTGTATTTGTTCTCCTTTTGTTTCTGTTGTTAGGTCTCGGTTTTTTATATTTAGTTTTTTCTCTGACTGTTCTTTCTCAGCTTTCTCTAAAATTTTTCTTGTTAGTCATAAAAGTGCCACCTCATTAGGGTCTTGATTTGTGAGCAATGCAACAATTTTGTTTTCTCTATTTGGTACTGTGTATGTTTTGCTCGCCTCATTGAAAAAAATTTTGTTATGCACATTATTCATAGCCCAGTATGCTCTTTTATGAAGAATGCTTGTAGACTTTCCCTATACTTTACAGGAATATTTTTGTTCATATTTGACAATATGTAATATACTTATTTTTATTATAGTATATTTATTATTGTTATTTAACAAACCAGATGGTAATACTAAAAAAAAGTAGTAACACTTTTTGCTAAGCTTTCTGAGCTGGTCTAGAAGTAAGTGAATAGGTTATTATCATAAAATTGAAGGTTAGTGCTGTTAGCAATTTTGGTTTCAGTAATACAAGAAACATGAATATTATTGTAAAAACAATAATTTTGCCAAGCTTCTCTTTTAGTTACTAAATTATAACCTCTAACATTGTGTATATAGATGTTTAAATGAAGGTTATGTAAAGATTATATAGATGTAAATAATTGTAATATAGTGTAACTATTAAGAAATAAGTTAGGTAGAATGGAAATTGCTAGTGTAAAGTTGTAAAGATTAAGTGGTGTATAATTATAAGGATGTATATGTTCAAGAAAGAAATAGAGAGTTTGTGAATGTGGAAGTAAAGATAGGCCTTGATGGGCTAACTATTTATTATAGCATAAGTCTGGATCAACTAATGTATTGTGTAATAGGTTTTGTGATGTTTCCTTGAAGTGTAATGATGCAATGGGATTCAAGGAAGTAAAAGATTCCTCTGTAAATTTGATTACTATATGCTTAGCTCTTACAACTATGAAGAGTATCATAGCCTGCTCTGTATGTTGAGTTTGGCCATTATAAACTTGGTTCTTCACATATACAATATAGTTTTTATATTTAGTTGTATATATTATCTAATAGTTTTATTAAAAATTTAATAGTAATATTAGTTGCAGTTTGGTTGAAATCTGTAAATTTTCAAATTATTTGAATAAATAGTTAAAGAACATATTTTTGTAAAGTTGTATAGACTTTGTATTATTTAAGGTATAGTTGTTATAAGTTAAATATTGATAATTGAACAGTTTGTTATATAATTCTTGTAGTTTGATATTTGTGATTTTTAGTCTACTAAAATTAAAGAATTGTTGTATAGTGTTGTTAATTATAAAGCTTAAGTTTAATGTATTAAAACAAGTTAACTAGTAGTATTGTTCTTTATATACATTACAAGAAATGCAGTTATTATTAGTAAACATTATTAAATAAGTAAATAGAATAATATTAATAGTATATTAAGCATTATTTTAATTTTAAAAGCTTTGTCTTAACATAATATAAAATTTATATATAGTAATAATCTTTTATTATTGTTATTAAGATAAGACTATGTTGCATTTCAGTTAATTTGTATAGCTATTAGTATAATGTTTTCTATATAATGTTGTAATAACTACATTGCTATGTTTGGACATTATAAATATTTTTGATAGATCTTCTTGTTGATTGTTTAAATGCAAGAATGTTGTATTATAAGTAGTATAATAAGTCATATATTGTTATATATAAATTCTAATATATATAAATGATTTCAGTTTTTTGCTAATTTATCTGCTATATTGTTAAAAATATTGTTGTTATGTGTAGCTACTTTTTGAAAGTTGATATCAATTTGGTAAGTTTTAATTAAATTTAGTAAAGTGTGCCATATTGGCTAATAATTATAAAAATATTATTTGTTCAGTATTAATAGTAATTTTAAAAGTTTGTTATATTTAAATATTATAAATTAAGAGTCTGTAAAAATTGTATCTGACTAGATCTAGAACAGATACTAATTGCAAATAAAATAGCAATAAGTTTAGCTTTATATAAAGAAGACTAAAGTTTAATTTCTTTAAAGTAGCTTTGTATAGTTGTATCATTTTAAACTTAAACTCAACTAATTTATATTTTATATTGTTTAAATGTAATATGTATTACTAATCTATTAGTATAGAAGATTAGTTGTAAATAGTTAGTATTATATTATGTAATTTGTTGCAGTATTTGTATAAAATAATTGTTATTAAATATTTTAAGTATCAGGTTATTGTAAATTGTAATTGTAGAAGGTATAGGTATTGTAATAGAGTGCTTAATATAATTGAGTATAATAAGTCTAGTAGGTTAAAATATAAATTGAGTCTTTTAGATGAGTTTGTATAGACAGTTCTTTTTAAGAATTTAGTTGCAAAGCTAGCTGTGATTTTAAATATATATTTGTTTTGTATATAGCCAGAGTTCAAAGAGCATTTTGTATATTGTTTGCAAATATAGTCTCAATAAGAATATAATGTTGTTTGTGAAGTATCAAACTGAATTGTCTAATATGTAATAAAAATAAAGTCATCTATTTGATTATATTTTTTGGCTTTTCTGATAATTATATTAGTTTGATTGTATATAATTAATTAAATTTTAGTTTAATTTTGTAATATTCAGTTGTAAAAAATAGTATATTTATATTTAATAACTGTAAATATTAGAAATTGATTTTTCTTGTTTGTTGAGAGGCAAGTAGTTTGTTTTTTAAGATTAGAAACTATAGTGGTTTATAGCCTTTGAGAATTTGTCATATTTGTAAAGAATATATTGCTAATTTAATAGCACTAAGTTGGCACTTAAAGTTAGTTGTTTTAGATATATAATTTGTTTTGTACAGAATTGTTTTTTGAATTAAAAATATGATTTGTATAGATGTAATAGTTTTTTGATAAATGTGTATAGATGTTAAAATATAAAGAATTTGGAGTAGCTAGGATGTATTTAAATAGTTAGTTAAAGATTATTAAATAGTTGTATAATTTTAAAAGTAGTAGTATATTTATTTGGTTTATCTATTATTAGATTTTTATAATATATAATGTTAATTGTTGATTATAAATTATTTTGTAATTGTTGAAGTCTAATGTAAATACTTGTGCTCATAAGATTAGGATTATTAATATAAAGTAGAAAGTTTAAGGTATGGTATTGAATTTGTATATTCTATATATTTTTAATACTATATATATTATGATTTAATAATGTACTATGTGGTATAGTTACAGATAGTTTAGATTTATATTTAGCAGTAGTAATATATTGTAATAAGATAAAGCTGTATATTGTTTATAATAAAACTATATTATATATATAGTATTTTGAAGTAAAGATAATAACTGTGTTAATAATATATGCTGCTTATTTATTTGTTATATTTTGGTTTTAAATATTTTATTAAGTTCTAATACTTCTTGTTTAATTAGTTTAATTTAGATAACATATTTGAAAATAGTTGTAAACCGACATCTTAAAAACTTAAAAGATATATAGCAAGATAATGTTTGTATTGTAGAGTTTATAAAATAGGTAGTTGAAGTTGATTTTATATTAGAAACAAGAATAAATTTGTATAAGTTAACTTTGATGTAAGTTATAGTATAGAATATTAATACTGTTTGTACTATTTTTTGAAGCTGTTCTTTGGTTTTAGCTAATCATAATATATTATTTATATATGCTAAGGTTGATGTTAAAGTTGTTGCTAATTAGTATTTTATTAGATTAAATTAAGAGATTTATTTAGTTGTTGAGGTATAACTAATATATCTTTTGTTTATATTGTTAATAAATAAATTATAGTATACATACCAAAGAAGAGATGTTATAGTTTCTTCTAGATCAATACTATTCTGTACTTCATATAAGAAAAAGAACTAAAGTTAGTAATTACTTAGTTAAAGCAATTGTAAAAAAAATTAATTATAGTATTAATTAAACATATAGATATATGTATTTATTATAATGCTTTGTTGAGAAGTTAAATATTTACTAAGTTGTAAGTTTTACTTATGTCTTGTAATAAGATTCAAATTTGTTTTTTAATACAAGCTGCATCTTCAATAAAGTTATTAAGTGATAATCCACATGTGATCTGCAGAAATTAGTTAGTAAATTCAGGGATAAGTTTAATTATACTTGTTAAGAAATATTTGCATCTCACACTGCTCACCCTAATTCCATGCTAAAATGTCCAAGCGACCACGTCAAGTCGCTATTACTATACTAGAAAAAGGTTTTCTTGTCGACGAGCTTCATTACGGACCTTACTCACGTTATTGGTGGGAATTTTATGAGGACAATGATGACCTGTTTTATTTTCTTATTCGACTTGGCTTTAAAGTAAAAGTCAACCTTAATAATCATTTTTTTTGTATTACTATTCAAAGAAGAAATGATTATAATTTTTTTTTCCCCGAATATTATTGTGAATCAGACAATTATTATATAACTTCTTCTAATCCCACTAATGCAATTTCTACTATATACAAATTTGTATTTGGTAATCAAACCCGTTATTCGGGTTCTATTATTCTTGGGTGGAATCAAAAAGATATCGTACAACAATTAATAAATGATGTTTTATTATTTC